TGCTATTCAACCTGTTTATTAATGATATCGGGGGGAGGGAGTGAATAGCCGTGTTTTAGTGTCTGCTGATGACACTAAAATTGGGGGAGGGGCAACTACATGGCAGATGAGGTTTAATGTTGATGTAAAGTAATGCACTCTGGGGCTAAAAATAGGCGAATAGAATACACAATAAATGGGAACTCCGCTGGGGAAGTCAGTAATGGAGAAAGATGGGGGGGGCTATGAATAATAGCATGCAATGCCAGGCGCGGCATGCACAGCGAGCACAGTTCTGTATTAAGAAGGGAATGTTTTGCCTCTTTATAGATGGCTGGCTCGGCCTCATCTGGAGTACGCGGTCCAGTTCTGGTCGCCAGTCCACAGAAAGGACATCCTGGAGAGAGTCCAGAGAAGGGCAACCAAACTCATTAGGGGGCTGGAGGACCAAAGCTATGAGACGGGGCTACTGAACTGTTCACGCTGGAAGTGAGGGGGGAGGGGGGGGGGACATGATTCTGATGTACAATGTTGGGTGGAGATGCAACAAGCTCGTGTACAGTAACCTCCATAACAAGGACGAGAGGCCGCCACCTAACACTGGAGGAGAAAAGATTTATCCACAAGGGGCGGAGGGATTCTTCTCAGTCACAGCGGTCCGGGTCTACGAGCCGCGGTATCAGCTGAGAGAGTGTGGAATCATTCAAAATGCATCTGGACAATTTCCTCAGAGACCGGAACATACAGCGGGACAGGTTCTCTTAAAAGGAGAACTATGGAGGTCAAGGCTTTTCCCCATAGTTCTCCTCAGGGTCGGGGGAGGACACAAACTAGCGTCCTCCCGTCACCCGAGGCTCAATATATAGGGAGCTACAGCTCGCGGTATACTGAGACGCCGCAGCCGGGACAATTATGTCTGGATCCGCCCAGCTGTGTGAGTGACAGCTGGCTCTGCCTATCTAGAGCTGTACCCGCCCCCTCCCCGTCCGTTCCGCCAGTCAGCGCTGGTGGATCAGAGCGGGGAGGGGGGAATCCAGCAGGGAGCCGTGACAGGATCGAGAGGTGAGCGAGCGCCGGTATGTGTTCCCTCACCTCCCGATCTACTGAGCCGACCTGCGACAGTCTCATTGTCACACGTCGCCCCGAACTATGAGGTGAGTGAAAGGCCCCTCCCCCCCCCCTCATAGTTCTCCTTTAAGAACAAGATCACACGGGGACTCGTGTACACACACACGCAGAATCACATGCATACAAGAGGTTGAACCCGTGTCTTTAGTCAGCCTCAAATACTATGTGACTACATGCTGAGCACTCGCAGCGGACGTGAATGTGGATGCAGAGTGACGGAGAAGGTGAGGTCACAGCACCAGCGGCCATCTTAACTATGGGCACACCTGGCAGCGCTTCAGAAAGGTGCCTGAATCCCGGTGGAGGAAATATACAACTCAGTGAGGGAACCTTCACTCTAATGTTTGGGGGGGGGGGGCGGGTCTGGCAACGAGACACAAA